ACAGTACTTTTGCAACAGAAGGCTTCAATATTTACATTATTATATAAATTTCAATGACATTTTAATACCGCATTCTGTAAAATGTAAATATCATTAAAACTATCATTTAAATTATAAAAGATCTTCTTGTCTCGAAAATTGTCGAAACTAATAGTTGTTTTTTACATTCTGTAGGCCTATTTATAATATAATTTTCATAGTACTGTGTAGTATGGGTGGACATTAATCTTGAACAGGTGTGTTTTAAATTGTAGATTGTAATTAATGCCAATTTGTCTGCGGATTTGTTGTACTGTACAACAGATTTCTGTATATTTTTATGTATGGCCGATGAGGGTCTTGTGTACCGAAATGCATACCAGGAATAAAGTTGTATTCTGATGATGGAAGTGTCATTGTGATGTTACCAGTAGCAGTGTGATAAGTCTCTGTTATCTCTACTAAAGTATTTGATATAATTTAAATGATAATAAAAAATAGATAATTCGATTTTTTATTCATGAAAATTTGGTTAAAAATAATGAAATACGTTAATAAGATGTATAAATTCATTTAAAACAATGTAAATTTAAACAATTTTTTGAATTAAAATTACGAAAAAATCTTTATTTATAATTAAATTCGATTTATATTTTAGATAAATTATTTTACTTTCAGCTTATATAAAGAAGAGAAGGAATTTTTATTTTTAATTTATATTTTAGCTGGTGTATGCTCTGTAATAAAATAGCTCGAAAGAAGGAACAACTTAATATTATTTACATGTAAATGCAAATTAATTTGAAAAAGAAAAAAATTAAAATATTTTGAATAGAATCTATCGATTAGACAAATATTTTGATATCTTAAACACATTTAAAACGAGATAAGAGAATTTTTATTTAATGTCTTTTTAATGTAATCTTTAACACTGGTTCTATCTGATTATTTAGTGTTTAGTCATGCGGAACGTTCTGGTTTTATGATTTGACGATAAGCCCCGATCATAATACGCATACCAATTAAGCAGGTAATTTTTTAGACTCTTGTAAATCTTTTTTACGGTCGTGTCTTGTATTAACCGTCTCGACTCGTCCTAAAATAATATATATTTATGACTCCGCCTTAACTAAATTGACACTAATTGCTAACCGAAAACTAACTGAACAGAGTCATAAATTTTGTATAAAATCTCTAGAAAGGATTTTAAATAATACAACAAATTTTCTTCAAAATCTAGGGCTTATTAAATTCTATAGAGTTATGCGGCCGGTAGTCATATTTGAAGCAAGTATCGATAGAAAAGATGTGGATAAAATGTCATGATATACAAAAATCATATATTGGTGATCAAATATATCAGACTTTTATGACAACTGCAGAGAATAATTTGATTCTTTCCTTTACTATTGGAAAATAATAAAGGGATATAGAAATATTTTACAATGTTATTCCATTTTATATAAATATTTTCTTATCGGCTTAAATAAACGACAAGAAATGAATATTTTAACATAAATATTTATAATAATGTCTATACAAGCTTAGCAAATTAAAAAAGTTATAACAAAATAAATTATTTTAAAATTATGATATAAAACGAAGATCGTTATCCAGTTTAACGAAAATTTAAATATAAAATAATTAAAATTATTTTTATTGGTTTAAATTCCGGTTAGAGTTATAGCAGTAAACAATTTCCTGCTCCCGAATTAATTATAAAAGTAATCGGTAAATAAGAAAACGTGTGTTATATTATCGGATGTATTTAAACTAAAACGCAGGATGGCTCAAAAGTCGGTTAACCGCGTTTTGTTTCGCTACCTCGTTGCGTCGTTGCCAAAAATCATTGAGGATCTGTGAATCGAACAAGAACAATTGATGTAAAGTTTGTAATAAAGTATTTCAATACGACGAAAATTTAGTTTCATAATGGTTAACCGACTTTTGGGCCACTTTATCTATAGGTATATTTCAGAATAATTGCAAAATTTATATACAGATATTTATAAATATACGGCTAAAATTATCATTTAATCATTAATTTTATATATATGAAAATGAAATAGAAAACTATCCGTTTATAAGAAGGCTCTTTGACACGTTTTTGCATAAATTTATATTAAAACAATACGTTTTTAACCGATTTTTCAGTCATTCTGAAATGCTTACGAATCAAACGTACTGCACAGTACTTTCTCCATCAGAAATAACCAAGTTTTCATTTTAAAATGCCGCAATAATTACAATTTTCATATACTTATACTTCGGTGAGTCATTAATAATAAAAATATGCTTCCTAACTTCGGGTATTTTATTTTATTTACTATAATTCTTTAAAAATTTCAAATTAAAATATTTATTAAACAATTAAATTAAGGGAATTACTCTATTATTTATATTAGTTTATTGTAACTTATAATTAATAAGTATTTTTTTATAATTATGGATTAAGAAATTTTAATAAAATGATAACTTAACAAATGTAATTTTTTGTTTCCTTAATTATTATTAACATATTAAATGCTTAATTGCGAACATTTATATAAAAATATTTGTTAATTCTAGACAAAAAATAGTAAAAAATAAAATACAACGTCTGGAGAGAATTTTTAATATTAATTTTCTTGATTTCTAATCGTGTAATTCAAATGCGTACAACTTCAAGTTTTTACTAATTTGCCCCGAATTTTTTATTTTTTATTTAATATTATAAGCTAATTATAATTTTTATTTCGATAACATCTAATTTAATCAATTTTAATTAATTCCTTCATAAATAAGGTAAATCTAATTCAATTATAATGTGAGAAAATAGCTTTATTTTGAATTATATAGATTTAATTACGAAAATTAATAATAAACACACTAATTTTTTTACATATTTTGTATTTTTATTAGAAAATAATTGTAATTTAATAAATTTTGTTATTATTATTTATATGTATAATAAACATCAAACTTTCAATGAAAATTGCCTCGGAAAAAGGTAGAAAATAGCGAATAAAACACGGGAAAGGAGGAAAATCTACGTAAGAATTTGAAGAGGGGGAAATGAATTAGTAAATAAATTTTATTTAGTTTTCGTAGCACTTGTTAGTTCCATAAAGAAGGGGAAAAAATTGCTCGTCGATCCACGCGCATACGAACACACACACATACATTCAATATTCTTAACGAGTTAAAGAGAAAATCTCTGGAAGAATTGTTCTCTTCAAGATAATCAACTCACTAAACCTGAGCCTGAACAGCCATAAGGTTAATTTCACAGTCGACTTGTTCCAAGAAGTTGTTTAACTAAAGTGGTTTTGTCATCTAAATGAACGATATAGCAATGATCATGCGAGCCTGCATCCGCTCCGGTTCATCAATGTCCTTAAAACTTAAAAAAATATATATTGAACACTGCATTAGGCATATTTATTTTTTCTTCTACTTTATATAATAATGATTTCTTAAGTTAATGGAAGTTTATCTTTTGCAACAAACGTAAACAGTATAATTTTTCTATGCCTATTATTGCGCTTGGATTATATCCAATGGCTCTTTTAAATTTATTAACTTTCGACTTCGGAAACTCTTTAGAAGATAATAAAAACGGCAAAAGGAAGGAATTACGTGGAATTCGTCTTATATCCGAGCAATAAATTGATAAATTTACAACGAATTTCCCTTTTCTCCTTCGTTTATCCTAAGAAACTTTGCCGCAGAAATCCATCTTTCCCCAGAACTTATCTCGCTGTTGGTTAAAGTTATGATTTATTCATTATAAATACTCAAATTTTGATTAGAATATTTTATAATGATTGCAAATAATCCATCATTAATTGCGATCTGTTATGATTATTAAGCAACTCTTTTATAAATGTAGTTAATCAACCAATATAACTTTATCGTTAGATGAATTATGTTACAACAGGTCGAACAAGTTTATTTTAGATAAAAAAAAAACCCTCCTTAATTACTGGTTTTTATTCCCGAATAAAGACCGGCTTTAAGACATCTTTTTTCACAAATAAAAAAATAAATATTAACATTGTAAAAGTAAATGAAGATATCCGTAAATGGAAAGATCTGTGAGCTCTTTATAAATAAGATATAGTTTAATTAGCATATAAAACAAAATTTTAAAATATTTAGATTTTTTAAACTTTATCGGTCCCTATTCTAACGAAAATTATACATAAAATTAACTTAAATTGTAGTCCATTATATATTTTAAGTTTTAATAAATAAAGTTTGAAAGATTTAAATTTAATATAGTTTAGTACGGACTATTCATAAACATAATAATTGTTTTTTGTTTTTTATATTTACCAGATTTGATGTTTATATAATTAAAAAAATAATAAAAATGCCGAATTTTAAAGCTTAAAACAAATAAAATGGTATGTAAATAATTTAAAGTCATATTTTTAGTTAGTTTTATAAATATAAAGTTTTTAGAAATTATTATAATTAATTTTTTATTTTATTAAAAATATTATTTTTAAAATATAAAGATAAGTTTTACAAAAACTGTAATATAACGACCTTAATGCTACTTTATCTTGTACCAATCACGATTTATGCGTTTAATCATAAATAAATAAAACCAAAACATAAATGAATGGTGTTTAATTAATAGAAATCTGTTTTAAATAAAATGTTTACGGCAATTAATAAGAAAAAGTTGTTTTTACGAAAAACGATGGCAAACTAAGCGAATTAACGTATTAAAAACGATATACTTTTAAGAAAATCGCATTAAATGCATTAATACGGATATAACTGAACGAAAGAAAGCGGCCATTTTTAGGGTTTATTTATTGTTGACTTTTTAAGCAAGGGAGTTACGAACTCGGGTATTTTTTTAAAAGGATTTTATTAAAAACATTCTTTTATCCGGAAATCTTACTGTTTCACCGATTAAGAAGACGGGAGGAGCGTTAACGTAGTTTTTGGATCGATTGTTTGGAGTTGTAGAAACGAAAGAAAGAAAAGGAAGAGAGGGATTAATTAAGAGGAATACGAGTACTCACCCACGGAGCTGATGACGTTTTGCGCAGTCAATAACTTATTTTTGGATTCGGCCAGAATGGCGCTGACGCCAAACTTGAGAAAGGGCGACGAAGGTGTTGCGCCATTGGTATCACCTCTGGCAGATTTGGTGGGACTTTCGGCGGGACCGTTGCAACAGCCGGAACACGTGGTGCAAGCCGCGGCGTCCACTCCGCAGGCGGACAGTGCCACGGGTCGCGCTAATTGGTAACCTTGTCCGTTGACGGCGGATCTGTCCCTCAACAGATTCTCGACCAGAAACGACGCACTGGCAGGTGGACTGGAAGCGGGAGACAACGAAGTAGGAGTGTTGACAGCATTGGGGCATCTCAGCAGCGTTGGATACACCGTCGTCTGCGTCAGTATGTTCGGATACATACCCACTACCTGTTAAGACGCGTCCACCATTGGGATATTTGTCCCCGGGGGGTCAAGACTCTACCTCGTGAAGATATGATTTTGTAATGCGCGCACTGCGTCTTGTGTAGGTCCAATAAACCAGTTGGTTGTGATAATAGGTCCTCCGTCGCATGAATGTATGGAGAGAAGCGGAGCCTGTCGTTCATTGGCTGGGGGGTGCGGCTGGCTCGCCGGATACTGGAGCAATGAGACGAGCGGCGACGGACGCTCAGATTGCGATAGGAGGGTTGTCTGATCTCTGTGTGACGTCATAGTCGGAGGTAGAATGTGGATTTGGTGTTGCTGAATGGCTTTATGTCCGAAAGGTATGAACGCACGGATGCATATAGTGTTGTATAAATAAATGCCTGACTGGATGTCGAATTCTGTTCCACATTTTCCTAAAGGATAATAATTCGTCCACCGCGCACTTTTATTTACTCTACTAATGTTTATTATTAATTTGGAATACAAACTATAAATTATTGGTGGCATTCTATAAATTTTTCTTCTAGGGTACGCACCGCATTTTTTCCATCCGGGAATAAAAGATTTAAAATAAGTTATATTCAGGCAGCTCGGCCTACTATTTACTTCGAGAAAAGAACAATGGGAACGACGAATTTCCAAAATCCGACTTTATCGTTTTTAAAGTTGATAAGCTTCTTTTCTTAAGATTCCCACTCCCGTCGCTTTAAGTGACAAGAGAGACAATTAACCAATAGTATAGTCTGTAACATGACGCGGAGACAACGTAATAAAATCCCCAACACGTCGCCAATTAAAGGAGGTAGAACGACATCGAGTCGGAATCTTTACAATCAGTTTGCTCCGGTGAGATAATTAATGAGGTTTTTAATTGTTAACGAAAAGGCCAGGAATGAATATAAAATTCTTTCCACTTTAAAATATCAATTGTTATTTTAAATGAAAGTTTACCTAAGGATTTTTTCCAAGGATTACGGGGACTTCCCAAGCATCGTTGCTCGGCTGTTTAATTTACAACCTCGGACTTGTCAACCGACTCTATTGTCGATGTGGTTTTACTGCAGTTTCAAAGACCCATCTATCCAAAAAAGAACCGCGGATTATGGTCAATTGTGAACAAATCTGGGTGAGGTGATGTTTGTTGACCTTAAGCATTGCAGTCGTTGAATACGAGAACAAGGCTTGTTACAGACCGTAGAAGCTACTGCGAATTTCCGTTAGAAAATCATCTTTACCTTTTCGCTTTTGTTTCTAGCCTGTCAGATATAGGCTTATATAAATTCATTTATAAAATTTCTATTATATTAAAATGGCAGGCCTACTACATTTTATATATTAAATGTAGAAAATTTATTTTAAAACTATCATTTTGTCTAAATTATAAATTTTTAATAATTTATTTTCGATTTAATTTCTATTTTTTCCCCTGTTTACTCTAAATATCGTATTTAATTTTATCTTCTTTTTACTTACTTAGAAAAAATAAAAATTATTTATTAATATTTATATTTTGACGCTTTATTAAATATAATAATTTTAATTTAAAACATTAAAAAATTGCATGGGCCTATTTATTATTATTAATTTAAAATAAAATTAATTGTTAAAATTGATAAACGGATTTTAATTTTAATTTTGAAGATAGTTATAAAAGAATTATAGTAATAGACGTGGATGTAACCTTAAGTATTTTGTAGTGTGCTACCGATTATACAAATGATTACCTCGATATGAAATAACGGTTTCGATTTATCTTGCTAAAAAGATATTACCGGGACATAAAATGTTATTAAAGAAGGATATAAATGGAATATGAGAAGTTTATAAATCCTTCAGATCATTTATTGAGCTTTAAATAAAGACGAATGACCCAGAATGTTCTGGCGACGGCACGAGATCTTATATGGGAAACGAGTGACCCGTAGATCTCACCTCACAAAATAATACAGCAACAGTTCACTAATATAGCAGTTCTCATAGGGCAGCCTCACCTGAGCGGAATGGTTGGATGCAGGTGCAAGCCAAGCGTTCCAAACATATTCCGGCCACCCTTGTCTACATTGGACTACAGAGTCACAAAGGACTACGCGGGGGACTGGAGTCAGAAGCTCCGATTTTACACTTAGTTAAACATCTAAAGTTTTCTCTTTCAGTCAATTGGAATAATATAGAAGTTCCAATACAAGTTGATATGTCTAAATATTTCTTCTTTGTCCAGGGGATTAAGCCATGGAATTTTTCTATTGCTTAAGTAAGGAGTATTTTGAAATTTTACTCATATAAACAGCTTAAATCTATTGATTTTCCTACCCAAAGACTCCCTGATCTCTATTGAGTGTGCGTTCTAAATAATTATTTCTCTTTATTTCTTGATTTTTACATAATATTTTTAAATTTTAAAATGAGGGTGATGACGAAGGAATCGATTATTTTGTATTAATTTCACTTTATTCTCGTTGATTACATAATCATTTCGATTAATGATAAAAAAGGAATATTATTTAAGCATTTTTCCTTGGAGATTTTGACACTTTTCCGACAGTTTTAAAAATTTGCATTTCATATTCCACAAAGTTTAGGGAATTACTAAATAAGAAGAAAAAATTCATCATTTTGAGCATAACAGCACTTATCTTAGGGTTTAACGCGTACAGGAATGTCCGAGGTTGAAAAGAAAAGATGACATTTTACGTTTTTCAAATCTTTGATCCTTGTCTTCCGTTTGGGCCATCAATTCTCCATTAGCTACCATCAGAGGTCGTCTGTCCTCCAATGTCTGATGTTACAAAGATTAGGGTAACAGATTGTACACTTATTCCTATCCGCATAGTCTAACGTCATGACACTATCAAACTGTCGTTAGATGTCATGAAGCCTTATTGGAGGGACGAAAATGCCAAAAGGGGTAATCAAGCCATTCCTCTCTAACTATACAAATAATCATTTTTCTTTAAATAATTATCATAATTTTTTATGATAATTCATTCCTTTTATATAATTTATTTATAATTCAAGTTTTTTATGCTTAAACTATTTATATTAATATAATTAAAATACGTTTCAATTTGCATAATTAAATTGAGAGTTTTGTATTATGATTTTAAGAATAATTCTGCCTAAATAAATAATTCAAAAAGCATTTTAAAAAGTTCTTAATAATAACCCGACGTTTAGAGATAGAAATAAGAGAATAATTAATTAAATTAATTAATTAAAATTAAGAATGATTACGTAATTTTGAAGGGTCTTAACTGTAAAGTATGTTTTCCCGCATAGCAACTAAACGTACAGGAAAGCCGACGCACAGGCGCTTTATTGGCGAAAGCCAAACAAAATGATTAAGTTTTAACTAAAAATTTATAAAATTTTAGCTATAAATTTTAAAAAATAGATTTGATTTTAAAAATTTCTACTTAATAAAATTTCAAGTATGTATAAAAGTAATCCGTAAAACACTAAACCCGTTAGGAATCGACTGGGCATCAAGTTTTGCCGTTATCTACGGGTATTTAGAGAGAGAGAGGAACATTTCTTCCGGTCCGTTACAGTGTTAAGCGTAACTGTCCGGTTACAGGACAAGGCAAGCCACGTCAGCCGTAATTACACTCAGAGGAGCTAGGATACAGTCACCTTTGGCGCACCAATAAAAGACCATCAATTGCAGCCAGAGTTCGGACACCCGGGTTCTACGTCAGCTTGTGTTGACAGGAAACGCTGATGAATGGAACGAAACGCAAGCGCACATCCGTTTCTAGTCCGGAATCTCTCGAAGCTTCACACTGACCAATCAGTGTATAGCAGTCGACTACGCAATATGGAGAAACTAATAGGTACAGGAGCTACGTAATAAAGATAAATCATTGCCATATTATGTACAGTCTGTATGGGTTGATGTATGCTGCCTCTTGCAGGTACATCATCTACTAGCCTTTTAATCACGGAGGTGAGGTTTACGCATCGCTTGTTACTAAAGTGCAATTAACGTTGTAAACTGTATATCATTTGGGATTGGAGTTTAGCATTGTTAACTGCAGCGTTTGTTATAGTGAATGACTGTTGAGAGTATCTCTCTCATTGTTAAGTCGTAAAACCTGTATTAAAATTAAATTAGTTGTACTAAATTCTTAGTTAACATTTAATTTCTTGCAATTTAAACAATTTTAACTAAGAGGCAATTGTATTATTCCTTCATTTTATCTCTCTTTTGATTAATAATAAAGCATTTATACAGAGAATAAACATCGACGTTCGCTCTTACGTAGTTAATATTTTCCACTTTTCGTAATTTATATGGCTTATATCAAATAACCGAATTCGTTTTACATAAACGAAATAAAAGAATTTTTAAAGATTGGCTTTATTAAATAAACAAGCATAAGGCCTATTACGCCGTCGACTAGGCTACGGGCCAGAGTTATTATAATTGTAATAATTACGCCATATTAGCTTCAATGGTCCGAAGAAACAGAAAATTTCCTACTTTATAAGAGATTATTGAAATCGAGTCAGATTGAAGAGGAACGATTAAAAATAAAGAATATCTTCTCTCAAAGAATGACTTTCAATCCAGAAGTGAAACGAAAAGAAATTAATAAAGAAGAAAAAAATACCTTCGAATCTTTTCGCCAAGTGAAGCAGATGTATTTGACACTACAACGATAGAGCTTTTGGATGCAGTTGAATGAGAACCCCGATCCCACAGTAGAAGTCCTTCCCCTCGCTTCATTTCCCGCTTTTCTCCCCATAATACATTTTCTATCCTGTGATTTGTAGGGAATTAGCTAGCCAATAATTCAATTAAGGAAATCGCTGAAAGAGATGCGAAATCTCGACTTTTCGCATTATGTCCCCTTCCATAAAGATATGAGTTTCTCTCTGTTCCGCCACCGACGCCTCTTCCTCTTATTATTTGTGAATAACAGTTAAACACAACTAAACGCTCCCATCTCTTTCCATTCGATTATTAATTTCTATTAAAAAAGAACAATTATTACAAAAAATAAACCCATATTTTTTATTACGTCGTAATTTAATAACGAAACTGTTTTGGTCCAGAAAAAATTTTATTA